GAGTGCACCTGTGTTGTGCAATGCTGTGGAGATCAGAAGAGGGCTTCAGATTCCCCTGGAACTGGAGTTAAGGACAGTTCGTTGCTGCCATGTGGGTGCTGGGAATTAAACCCCCGTCCTCTGCAAGAGCAGTCAGTGCTCTTAACCACTGAGCCAGCTCTCCAGCCCCTTCAGGACAATCTTTAAACACACTGTATACCCTCCTGCCTCCTGGGGAAGGTACCTGGCTCCCTCTTCAGGATCTGGCCACAGTGGTTAGACCTCAGGACCTCATGGATGAATTACCTGCCTTATTGTTGAGACAAAATATCTCACAAAACAACTTAAGAAAGGAAGGGTTTATTTTGGGAACAACTTAAGAATGGAAGGGTTCTCCATTCTAGAGAATACACCCCATCATGGTGGAAAGGCACTCCAGCAGGACCAAGAGGTTATACTGCAACCACAGTCAGGAAGCAGATAATGAATATATTAAGCCCACATTCTTTTTTATTTTTTTATTTTATTTATTTTTTTGGGGTCTTTTTGAGACAGGGTCTCCCTGTAGCCCCAGCTGTCCTGGAACTCACTATGTAAACTAGGCTGGCCTTGAACTCACAGAGATCCGCCTGGCTCTGCCTCCCCAGTGCTGGGATTAAAGGCATGCGCCACCACACCTGGCTTATTTTTTAAAATATTATTTTTTTTAATTTTATGTGTATGAGTGTATTGCCTGCATGTAGATAAGTGCACCCATGTCATATGATGCCCGAGGAGTCCAGAAGAGGGCTTCAGATCCCCCTGTAACTGGAGTTAGGACAGTTGTTAGCCACCATGTGGGTGCTGGGATTTTGTCCTCTGAAAGAGCAGCCAGTGTTCTCAACTGCTGAACCATCTCTCCAGCCCCCACATTCTTTTTTTAAATTTAATTTTTATTACAACTATTTATTTCTATATGTGTATATATGTATAGGTGTGTGGGTGTGCACATGCCATTGCTTATACATGGAGGTCAGAGGACAATTTGTGGGCATCAATTCTCTACTTCTACTCTGTGGGCTCTGGGGATCAAATTCAGATCTTCAGGCACTTTTACCTTCTGAGACATCTTTCTGGCCTCTCTCACTTTCTCCTTATAATTCAGTCTGGAAATCCAGCCTGTGGAATGGTATGACTCACATTTGGAGTAGGTCTCCTCATTTCATTTAACCTGATCTAGGCTAAGCCCTCACAAACACACCCAGAGATTTGTTTCCATAGTGATTCTAAATCTATCAAATAGACAAGATTTATCATCACACTTGGAAAGGACTTCAAGACCCTGGTCATTCTCCACATCATGTAGGGTTTGGCTTTGGCTCTGGATATGGGCTGGAGGAAGCCACTTGAAGCACTTTGAGACCTTGGGTTCGCCTTATCCTCATGGTATTGATCAGGCATAGTGGCCACAGGAAGCATGGCCCTTGCTTGGTTGCATGAGTCCTCACCCAGCCCTGATTAGCGGTGGGCTAGGGTCTGGAGGAGAGAATTGCTGAGGGTAATTACATTTGTCCTGTCTCTTCATGGGGTTCACTTGCTCTGAGCCCCAGAGTCAGCAGGATCTTCCACCAGGGTGCTTGTGTGCCTCCAATGCCTTCTAGGACAAGTCCCTGTGCCATTCTGCATCCCAGTGTTGACCTCAGATATCGCAGAGCCCCTCTGTACCCAAGTCATGACACTCAGTGTGTGATTTGAGCCTCTCTCTGAATGCCCCTTGGTGTCTCCACCCTACCAGTCCCCAACTTGGACACCCTGTACCCTCTTTGTCTCTTCCTTACCCCACAGAGCTGTATGTTTCTCCACCTCCCTCCAGAGCAGCTGTAACACCCCCTGCCACCTTCTGGGTTCATCTTCTCCCTCCAGGGGCCAGTAAGACCTGCACAGGTCACATGACTGGGAGCATGGACCAGTGCAGGGGCCCTGCTTTCCGCAGCAGTAGGGCTGGATGTGGGGTCCTCCACTCTCCTGTGCCTGTTCCTGTCCATCCCAGATCCTTCCCTGTCCTTGGGGCAGGGACCATTGTTCCTTAGTTCCTTTAGAGCTCTTTCCACAACCCTAATCTCTTTCTTTGTGTGTGTGTAGGTCAAAGGTCAACCTCAGCTGTTGTTTTTCAGCTGTTGTCTACTTGTTTTTTTTTTTTTTTTTTTCCCTGTAGCCCCAGCTGTCCTGGAACTCACTATGTAGACCAGGCTGGCCTTGAACTCACAGAGATCCTCCTGCCTCTGCCTCCTGAGTGCTGGGATTAAGGCCTGCGCCACCATGCCCGGCTCTACCTTGTTTTTTGAGACAGGATCTCTCACTGGTCAGGAACTCACCAAGTAGGTGGGTTGGGTGACCACCAAGCCCCAGGGATTAGCCTGTTTCTGCCTCCCTAGTTCTGGGATTAAACGTGTGCACCACCACACGGGACTCACCCCAGTTATTTCTTATCTCCTTACCCTGCTTCTCCAGCCCACGCACCGCTTCTGCTCCTCCACTTCTCTAAGAGCGTTCTCTGCTAGCACAGACACCCTCAGAGTCCCATTGAACCCTGAAGTTGAACTTGCACCTGCATCAAAACTTCCACATTTGTTTGAACGATCTAAGTTCATACCTTCCTCCCCACGGCTTCCTGCTGCCTCCCCATAGTCTAAACATACCCTTATCCACCTGGCCCATTGTCATGCCTCACTACTGTCCAGGAAAACAAGAATACCTGTTAGCTACCTCCACTTGCACACCAGCACCCCTACCGTGCCAGCACCTGTCATGCCTAGTAAGAGCCATGATCACATTCATATCCCCAGCAAATCTAGTTGGTGGAAAAATATACCTTGTGTCTGATCCCTTCTTACTATTCCTTGGCCTACCAGCCCAAGGCACTATACATCCCTGCAGAATGTACCTAGTAGCCATTAATCAGACTATTCAAGTGTCTGCTGTGTCCCACTGTGGGGGCTGGTCTTGCTTGGAAGTTCTGCATCTCCAGTGGGGCTGAGAAATGCCTTGCTGGGTGGCAGGTGAACAAGGGATCCTGGCTCCACAGGGAAATTCCTGCATGCCTACATGTTTGTGTGTGTGTGTGTGTGTGTGTGTGTGTGTGTGTGGTATATGTATATATGTGAATGATGTATGTAAATGTGTGTATTATTCCCTTAAGACAGGATCTCTTACCAAACTTGGAGCTAGGTTGGCAGTCAGCAAGCTCACTGATCCTCCTGTCTCTGCCCTATAGAACTGGGTTTACAGGCACATAGGACAAATCCAGGCTTTTTACATGGTGCTAGAATTTGAACTCAGGGTCTTCTTGCTTGTCGCCCCCCTCAACCCCATGGGGCCACCTCCCCAGTCTCTGTCTTTAACTTTTTATCTTCTTTCATTCCTATAAGACCTCTATGCTTAATGAACCACCTAGCAATCACTTTCTGCTCAGCCTCGAATGCCTTTCCTCTGTGTTCGCAACTGTGGAAATGTTTCTGACATAGGTAGAGGAACCATGAAACCTTTCATTCTTTGTGTGTAATGAACCCTCAAATTACAGCTCAACAGAATGGGCCAAGACACAGGCAAAAAGAAATAACTGTAGATCCTGCTCTTTGGAGATGCCAGCTACTCAGAACAGATGTCTTTCAAGCTGATCACTGCAAAGAGCTGTGTAGTACTGTTCATCACTGTGGATTCCACTGCTGGTTTATTTGTGGGCTGCTGCTTCATATGCTAGATCTAGATCGTTTTTGATGGCTGTCAAAACTAGAAGTAATTTGAAGTTCCCTGTCAAGGTGCCCAGTCCAGGCCCCACAAGTGTGATATCTGAGCTGCTTCCAGTTATGAGCTGTGTGCTCTACCACCCAGCTGGAGGCATCTGCCTATAGGCAGGGTGAGGGCGTTTTGTTTTGTTCCAAATTTTCTCAGCAATAATTCCCTAAGTGATTTTATATCACCAGATTTTAGTGTGGATAATCTTCACTCATCACTAAAGACAGGAGCCTTGGTTTGATTATTTCATTACTTAAGAAGTACCATTTGAGGGGACTGGAGAGATGGCTCAGCAGTTAAGAGCATTGGCTGCTCTTACAGAAGACCCAGGTTTGAACTCCAGCTCCCCAGCATCCACATGGTGGCTAACAACTATCCAGAACTCCAGTTCCAGGGATCCAACCCACTCTTCTGGCTTCCATGGGTATTGCATGACAAGGGTGCACTTACATACATGCAGGCAATATACTCATACACATTTATTTTTCTTTTGGACTGGGTATGGTGGTACACACCATTAATCCCAGCACTTGGGAGACAGAGGTAGGCAGATCTCTGTGAGTTCAAGGGTAGCCTGGTCTATATAGGAAGTTCCAGGCCAGCCAGGGCTATACAGTGAGACCCTGTAGAGAGAGAGAGAGAGAGAGAGAGAGAGAGAGAGAGAGAGAGAATCATTTGGTTGGAGATATGGCTCAGTGGGTAGAGAGCTTATCTAAAATGTTCAAAGCCCTGGGTTCAATACCTAGTGCTGTATAAACAGCACAGTGATCCATTCCTGTAATCCTAGCACTTGGGAGTAGAACCAGGAGGATTAGAAGCTTAAGGTCATTCCTGGCTACATAGAAGGGAGTTTCCGGACAGTCTGGACCACTGGAGACCTTGTCTAAAAGAAACAAAAGAATAAAAAAGTGAACTGGATTTCTCTGGAGGGCACTGTTGTTAGGTCAAAGCGCCCAGTTAAGAGTTACCACGTAAAAAGGGTGCACTAGATCTTGCTCCCCACCCCTGGGAAGGGAGTGTACAGACTAGGGGAGTCCTTAGTGCCCTGGGAGGCGGTGGGTGCCTAGACATGTCTCTTAGGCATAAAGTCCACTCCTTGTCCTGCCTGCGCAGTAGTGGGAATTCAGAGGAGGTGCCCTCTCAGTTTCGTCCTCCCAGGACAACATCCCCTGACAGTGTTCTGGCGGAGGGTGGAAGGGGGGTGGGTGCGGACTCTTTCGTGTTTATTATAACTTCACTCCCTTTAAAAGGAAAAGTATGCTGGGAATCCGGGAGGTGGCGAACCGAGCCGGGTGTTAAGGACATGAGCCGCGCACGCTGGTCGCTTTCTGGTGTCCCCAGGCTGGCGCTGAGCTCTGGAGTGGCGTCCCCGGACCCCTCAACTGTTCCCTGAACCCCTCACCCGGGCCGCCCCGCGGGTGGAGCCGCCCTTGTGTCCCTTCTCTGCGCCGCCGAGACCCGCGCGGCTGCGGCGACACCAACACAGCGAGTGCAGTGCAGACCGGGGCTCATCGTGCGGCCACCATGACAGGAAGGTAACAAATGCCTTAGGTCGTGGGTGGAGGGTGCATCGCCCAGGAAGGACGCGGGACTGAAGACCTCGTGGTGCGGATCGTTCCCGGCAGCCCTCCCCTGCACCCCCCACCCCGCACTTGTCGCCTTAGGGGACTGCCAGGGTCTGTCAGGGCTCCCACTCTCCTCCTTGAGGGCAGGCAAGGACAGGTGGAATGCCTGCCCACCCACTGATCCTGCCAGGGATCCCCTCAGGCTGACTCAGAGCAGGAGATTCGCCCAAGGTCTCCTGCCAAAACTAAAGACTAACGCTTTAAAACCTGACTGCGGACCACGGACTTCCCAGCCACCCACTGTGTGATCCTGGGTGACAATGTCTCAAGAGCCTTCCATTGCCTCCTCTGTAAAATAGGGTGTAAAGGGTATGTAGGATCTGGAGAGAACTGTCTCTAAAGCCGGAGCTGTAGAGGCTGGGCAAGGGGTAGGGAACTCCTCTGCAGCCTGGCCTGGCCAGGGCTCTCAGGTCCTTTGGGACCATTTCACAGATGAGGTAACCCAAGTTCCAGAGGCTCTGTGACTCAGGACGTAGGCACGTGACCACCAGAGTCCAGCCAGTGTTGGCCTCTGCAGTCCTTTCTGGAACATGGCTGGGTAAAAGTATATGACTCAGACCTGGTGGGGAAGGGCTAGTTCTCTGAGGCCTGGAGCCCCCTTCTAGCCAAGTCTTGGCAGGTTTTCTGCTCTGTGCCTTGCCTTGCTGCATCAACGCTTCTGGGAGCCCTGTTGCTTTTGTAGTCTATATTAGGGAAAGGGACCTAGGAGTTAGGGCTGTGTCCAGGGGGTATGGGCTAGTGACCTCAAGTTTCCTTGAGGCACAGAACAGTCTCCTGCTCCAAGTATATACTGCTGCCCACCACTGAGGCTAGAGCCCCAAACACTGTCATCTCGTAAGACCAGCCCAGCCCTCTTGTTTCTGAATGCTTCTTCCTCAGACTCAGAGCCCCAGCTGCTCCCCAGCATGAAGTCCTGCTACTCCCATGGTCTGCCCCTCTATGAAGTATCATGAGGGACCTGTCCCACCTTAGGAAGGTAGTGGGGGTCTTCCCACAGACTACTGTGGTTAGTGTGCTCCTAAGCTTACACCCCACCTTCTACTCCCTTTCAGGAATCTGCCAACACCTTCTCTCGCCCCCCCCCCCCCCCCCAGCAGCTGCAGAGCCAGCAGGATGTGAGGCTGGGAGCAGGGACGTGAAGCACTTGTTAAGCCTGGGTCCCTCAGGCCTCCCTGGAGTGGTCAGTCATGGGCAGCCAGCAAGAGAATGTGGGAAGATACAGGGACAAGGAAGACCTTTCCCACTCAGAGTACCCTGGCTCAATTTAGGGAATTAGGGAACAAACTTAGACATAGAGACCATGGCAGCACGGTAAACATCCACAGGTCCCCTCCTCAGATGCCTCTATGAACATTTTGGTGGCTTTCTTCAGTTCTCATCTCTAAGCATTTCTCTGTTCATTTGTTTTATGCAGGTGTAAGGTGGCACAAGCCAAGGTTGACATCTTTCTTTGAAGCTTACTCTGCCTGCCCATCACAGGGGCGGGTGGGTGTTGGTCCTGGCTTCCCTCCCCTGTGTACACAGGGATCCTGGACATGCCAGTCTGGGAGGAACTGATATCTGACTCAGCCTTTGGAGTGGGCGAGACTCTTCCTGTCCGAGGAGCTGTGGGCGTTCCCTTGGCACAGTGTCATACCATGGTTGTCTTCTGTGTCCACTGCTCACTGAGGCGGGTCAGATCCTCATGCTCAGATCCTGAGGTCCCTACCAGCCCTTTGTTCTGCTTGGAGCTAAGCTGTACTTTTGATACATCTTCTCTTCTCACACTTTCAAGGTTCTCCTTCCCACCTCTTCCTGGAGCCCTGGCAGGTAAAAGCAACAGGAAGTGCTTGCCGAGCTGCCGAAGTGACCTGTAGCACTTGAGGAGCTGTCCTTTGCAAACATACTCGTGGGTGCTGTGCAGAGAAAGGGCTTCAAGGAGATGGGGGACACAGCCAGTAGGCCAGCAGCCAGCAAGGCCGAGGGGATGGAACTGGGAGGCAGAGTCAGGTGCTCCTGAACAGGATACTACCAGAGCTGCTAGGGTCAGAGCCTGGATCCTGGAAGCTCTAACAAGCTAGGCTCAGCCACTTTCCCTAAATAGACCAAATAAACAGACAAGCAATGGTAAAAATCAGAGAAAGAATATTTATTCAATATAGTCATATTGGGGAGAGGATAAAGAGGTTCTGTGACTAACTAGTTACCCAAATCCATCTTCTGGGTCCTGTCATGAAGTTCAGGTTTAAAAGAAGGCAAGAGATATGATGCATAACTAAGCAGTCCCGGTCCAGGTGTGGTCCTGCCCATCACTGACCCTTCATTGTTTCAGTTCTAGTCTCTCCTGAAAGGTCTGACAAGTTGCCAGAACTGTGTGAAATCTCTTCCTGAAAGGCAAACTCCCTTCTGCTTCCAACTTCAACATCTTCCTTCTAGCATGAGATTCCTGGGAAATTCTGATTTGGGGGACTATTGTTTCAGTAGTCTGATAGCCATAGGGAGAGGCGTGAGTGTGTCTTGAGAACGTCTTCATTTCAGTTATAAGGACAGGTCACCAGCAGCTGACTGTAGAGTGGGCAGTGGGGTGTGGGACCATGTTTTCAGCAGGGGCGTGGGGGATACCCTAGGTGTGGGCAAGTCTAAAAGGAGCACTGGGGAACAGTGGCGTATGAGGGGGTGAGGCACGGGGAAGGGCTGGACTAAGGATAGTGGGCTGGTGAGGCCTGGAACTCTTATGCTGCTGAGAGGGGAGGTGCCATCACAAGAGAGGGTCCAGACCAGATTACAGTGTAACCTTCAAATCCAGGCTCTGTGACTGTCACAGCTTTGAAAGAACCCTTGGCATCTTCACTTTTATACAAGGGAAGGGAGGGAGGTCCACCCATTTAGGGACCCAGCCCTCCCTGGTACTCCTCAAAGTGGAGCATGGGGAATGGAGCCCCTAGCAGTATGAGTTCAGTGGTTTGGCCTGCTCTAGAGTGGACTGCTCAAGGTGACTATCACTATTAGGCCACCCTGTGTCTGAATTGCATTAAATTCAATACTTGGCATACAGTAGATTGCTGCTAGGTTTCAGGCCTCATGTCCAATCTTGTGTCTCCTTTACTGGATGAGAACTATGTCCAGTGGCCCCTTTCCAAAGGAGTCAGTTAAGGAGTCGCTAAGGGTTATAGTCAGAGCCCTCAGGACAACCATGGTGCTGTGACAGTTAAAGCTTAAAGCAAATGCTGAGGAGTTAGCTCAGTTGATAAAGTACTTGAGATATAAGGACTAAGACCTGAATTCAAGCTTCAAAATCCATGTTAAAAAGAAAAAAGCAGGAGTGGCTGTTCCCACTTGTAATCTCAGCAGTTCAGATACAGAGTTTCTCCTTGATTATTACAGTTTCTTGTACTGGGCCATTATTAAGGTCCCCATCTGCATGCTGAATCATGGATTTTCCCTTCTCTATTCAAACTCAAACCTGGAAGGTATCTTCTATCATTTCTACCATTTTCTTTTCCTCACTCTCTGATTCTTCCAATGGGTTCCACGTTTTGGATCCTAGGAAGGGCTTTTTAGCATGGATATAATTTATCCATTCTTTCCTTGCATCTTGCCAGCTGTAAGGCACAGCAAGCTAGCATCCCATCTCATCCTCCCTCCCCCTTTTCCACATTTCCTGCCAAATCAGAGGCCACTATGGAGGATAGTATCTGCCTGTCTTTTTCCCATCGTAATTCCTCCCTTACATGGGCAAGTTTTTTTCTGGGAAGACAGCTGCGCCTTAGTTATATGTCTTTTGCCCACAACAAAGGCCATGTAGCAGTCACCACAGTCTGCTGTGGTCTCATCCCACACTTAGTACTCTCAGGGATTTAAGTCTATCCTGTAGTCCATCAGCTGTTTAGGGGCATACCAGTACTTGCATAGTGGACTCCATTTATCGAGGAGTCATGCCACCACATACCATGTAGAGGAAGACAGTCACCTTGGGATTGCCCTCAGTGATGGTCTACTCTCACATGGCTTGGCATTGGTTGCTTATTTGATTATCCATCACAAGAAGCATGCAGTCACCACTACAGGAAAGATGTACAACATCTCATACCTCATGGAGAAAAGTAGCCATATCTGGATTGTTTCTGTGGGTGCTGCACTCCCACAGATCTGCCTCAGTTGTATGTCTCATAATCTATCACAGGGGCCACACTGCCACTCCTCCTCAACTCATCTTTGGTTCTGTTGGTCTGTGTCCCTGTTTGGGAAGTCTTTCTTCCTGGGGAGACACAAACAGATAGGGCAACAATGACGGATCAAAGAATCAATTCCACTCAAGTCTAGCTTAGTGAACTAGGAAGTTTATTGCGGTTACTTACAGAAGCATGGGTGACTCAAAGGCAGCTGCATCACCAAAAGCTCATCCCAGCATGGGTGAGGACTCATTAAAGTTATATCCCTGGAAGTCTCTGGACAACTTACAGGCAGCTCAGACAGTTGGAGAGTCATCTCTCCCCTGCGACTGTTATTGCTTATGTAGCCTGGAGCAGGGGCCTTTTGAATCTTCTAACTTTCTGATCTTTCTGAGCCTTGTATGTTCTGTTTCTTTCTTGACTCCTTTAAAATATATTTATTTATTTTAATTTTATGTGTATAAATGTTTTGCCTGCTTGTACGTAAGTGCAACCACACGTGAAATGCCCATAGAGGCCAGAAGAGGGCACTGAACCCCAGAACTGGAGCTATGGACTGCCATATGGGTGCTGGGAACTGAACTCAGGACCTTTGCAAGAGCAGCCAGTGCACTTAACCACTGGGCCATCTCTCCAGCCCCTGAGTCCTTTTTTAACGATTTAAAATTTGAAGAAAGTTTGTGTGTGTGTGTGTGTGTGTGTGTGTCTGCAAGTGAGTATGTGCAAGTGAATGCAGTTGCCCTCAGAGGCCAGAAAAAT